CTCTCTCTTAATCTTACCCTGGTGTATGCTGATGACTGGATAGAAATGGAAAGATCTGTATGCTCAGAATCTGGCCGTCTACAATGAGGAGATGAGCGCGTACAAGGCCAGTCTGCCGCCGGGACACAAGGTCGACAGCACCGTGCCAGCCACCCCCAAGCCGGCCAAGGCAGCAAAGACGTCAAAGTCCAGCAAGCCATCGACCAAGGAGGCCGCCCGGCACCAGGACGATCACGACGCCGCCGCCGAGCAGCAGCTCCAGCAGGCCGTCCGCGAAGCCACCACCGACGACACCTCCTCTGAGTCCGCAGGCTCGTCAGAGAGCGAGGCAGAGGCGACTCCCACCCCGTCCCCGCCCAAGCCAACGCCCAAGTCGTCGAAACGTCGCCAGTCCAAGGCTGCTGCTGCTGCTGCTGCTCCAGCACCGGCACCGGCACCGGCACCGCCTGTCATCGAGACGCCCACGCCAGCCACCAAGAAGTCGTCGCCCGAGAAGAAGGAGAAGAAGAGCAAGAGCAAGGACAAGGATAGACGGGCCTCTGCTGCGAATGTTGCTGCTGTCGAAGTGGCCTCGCCTGTCCCCGAGCCCCCCAAGTCCGAGAAGAAGGCTCGAAAGAAGCGCAAGAGCGCCGTTGACGAGTGACGAGCAAAAAAGGACGCCAGCCCTCAAACCTGTTTTTCTCCTCCTTTCCGTTCCCTGTCTGTAACCTTTGGCTTTTTTTTCTCCTTTTATCTTACCTGGCTTGTCTGTGTTTATATTCCAGCTGTCGGCCGTTGGTTCTGCTTGTCTTATCTATCAGTCCGTTATCTGTATCATCCGCAAGTCCCAATAAAAAGTCTTCTTCTTAAGCCCCATCGCTCGGCCTCTCTCCTATCATACAACTATAAGTAGACAACCTGCAACCGCTGCCCTGAGCCGGCTACAGCTGGGACTTTTGCTCTCAAACTAGCGGCAGCAGGCCTCGGCAGGCGAACAGCCAGCCAGCGCGGGGAGTCGGCAGGATCTGCTGGGCCCGTCTTGTTCCTCCTTGCGCGTCATCGACAACTCCTCGATATCCCCAGATCATACTCAGAAGAAGAACAAGAAGACGAAGAACTAGAAGAAGAAGAAGAACTAGAAGACTCCAGGCCGACCAGGACCAGCAGCTCGATCGTGCCTTGGCTTGCAAGATGCGTCTCGTCCCCCGAGAGGTGCGTTAACGCTGACTGGCCGCTGCCTCGTCGCCAATGCTTGGGGCTGCTCCATCCCATCCTTTGCCCCGGGCGAGACGAACAGCGGCCATGAACTCCATGAACTCCATCAAGAGAAAGACTCAATTGACTGACTGTGTCTACTGCTACAGCTCGATAAACTCACCATCTCGCAGCTGGGCTTCCTGGCGCAGCGGCGGTTGGCAAGAGGCGTCCGTCTCAACCATGCAGAAGCCACGGCATTGATATCCTCCAACCTCCACGAGGTGAGCACGATCACGATCTATATATATACCCCGTAGTTATGCCATAGCTGATAAAATAACAGTTGATCCGCGATGGAAACCATACGGTGGCCGACCTGATGGCCATCGGCAAGACGATGCTCGGGCGTCGCCATGTCCTGCCCTCTGTCGTGTCCAGCTTGACCCAGCTGCAGGTCGAGGGCACCTTCGTCTGCGGATCGTACCTCGTCACCGTCCACAATCCCATCTGCTCGGACGACGGAGACCTCGAGAAGGCGTTGTACGGCAGCTTCCTGCCCGTGCCACCAAAGGACCTCTTCCCGGACCCTGACCCGGAGGAGTACCTGCCCGAACGCATGCCGGGAGCCGTCGTCGTGGTCAAAGATTCCAGGATCGAGCTCAGTCCCGGACGCAGGAGAATCAAGCTGCGTGTCACCAGCAAGGGAGACAGGCCCATACAGGTCGGCTCGCACTACCATTTCATCGAGACCAACCCCCAGCTCGAGTTCGACAGGGCCCAGGCATACGGCTTCCGTCTGGACATACCCGCCGGAGCATCCCATCGATTCGAGCCCGGAGAGTCCAAGACCGTCCAGCTCGTCGAGATCGCGGGCCACAAGGTCATCAAGGGCGGCAACTTCCTGGCCACAGGTGAAGTCGACCATGGTCGCAGGGACAGGATTCTCAGCCGTATCGCCCAGGCCGGTTTCATGCATACCCCGGAGCCCATGGCTGATGCCAGCTTGGTCAAGCCCTATACCATGACCCGCGAGGCTTATGCGCGCACGTTTGGCCCCACGACCGGTGACCTGATCAAGCTGGCTGCTACAGACCTGTGGGTGAAGGTCGAGAAGGATCTCACCACTTACGGCGATGAATGCACCTTTGGCGGAGGCAAGTCGCTGAGAGAAGGCATGGGACAGGCTACCGGCAGACATGCGCATGAGGTGCTCGACAGCTGCGTTACCAACGCGGTCATCCTCGACTGGTCCGGCATCTACAAGGCGGACATCGGTATCAAGGACGGCATCATCGTCGGAATCGGCAAAGCTGGGAACCCAGATGTCATGGATGGCATCACCCCCGGAATGGTCATCGGCTCATCTACCGACATCATCGCCGCCGAGAGGATGATCGTCACGGCCGGCGGCATCGATACCCACGTCCACTTCATCTGTCCCCAGCAGGTAGACGAAGCGCTCTCGTCCGGCATCACCACCATGCTGGGAGGTGGTACGGGCCCCTCCGAGGGCAGCAATGCAACTACCTGCACCCCGTCTCCAAACTCCATCCGCCAGATGATACAGTCCTCCGACGGGTTCCCCATGAACTTTGCTTTCACCGGCAAAGGCAACGATAGTGAACCGCGCGGCCTCAGAGACCAGATTCGTGCCGGCGCCGCTGGGCTCAAGATACACGAGGACTGGGGAGCTACTCCTGCCGCCATCGACAGCTGTCTTTCTGTCTGCGACGAGCTAGACGTCCAATGCCTGATTCACACCGATACCCTCAACGAATCAGGCTTCGTCGAGCAGACCATCAAAGCTCTCAAGGGCAGAGTAATCCACACCTACCACACCGAGGGCGCGGGAGGCGGCCATGCCCCCGATATCATCTCCGTCTGCGAACACCCCAACGTCTTACCTTCCAGCACCAACCCAAGCAGACCATACACTCTCAACACTCTAGACGAGCATCTAGACATGGTAATGGTCTGCCACCATCTGTCAAAGGATATACCAGAGGACGTAGCCTTCGCCGAATCACGTATTCGCGCCGAAACAATCGCTGCCGAAGACGTCCTTCATGACATCGGCGCTATCAGCATGATGTCCTCGGACTCTCAGGCCATGGGCCGTTGCGGAGAAGTCGTTCTTCGAACATGGCACACCGCTCACAAGAATAAGTTGCAGCGCGGTGTCCTGCCTGAAGACGAAGGTACGGGATGCGACAACTTCAGAGCCAAGCGCTACGTGAGCAAATATACCATCAACCCAGCCATTGCCCAGGGCATGAGCCATGTCATTGGCAGCGTCGAAGTAGGCAAGGTAGCAGACCTGGTGTTGTGGAAGTTTGCCCAGTTCGGCGTCAAGCCTAATCTCATTCTCAAGAGCGGCATGATTGCCAGAGCACAGATGGTATTTACTTACCCCTTTTCCACTAGTTCTCAGTTCTCACACCATCTAACTATTCTACAGGGCGATGCAAACGGCTCTATTCCGACCATTGAACCGATTCTGTCAAGACCTATGTGGGCTGTACGTCCCTCTTCCCCCCTCCCATTGTGCTAGAAAGTCTATTCATCTTATTAACTTCTCTTTAGAGCTGTCTGCCAAATACGTCCATTATCTTCGTTTCTCAGTCGTCTGTTGACGACGGCGTGATTGACACCTACGACATCAAGAAACGAGTCGAACCAGTCAAGAACTGCAGAAACATAGGCAAAGAAGACATGAAGTTCAACGACACCATGCCGAAAATGCATGTCGATCCAGAAAGCTACGTAAGTTCCTTCCAAACCACAGGCATGCTCTGACTGATGTACATTGGCTAACGCTGCCCAGACCGTCGAGGCAAATGGAATGGTATGCGATGCGGATCCAATCGATACCCTCCCCCTATGCCAGGACTATTTCATATACTAGGCTCCAATCAAGCCAAGGGCGGTAATCTGAATGAAGCAGGTGGCGGACGTGAATAATCTTTCCAGCGAGTTTATATCTTATATCGTTCATTTATATATAGTTTATACATATATCGTATTAGTTCTGTTATATCAGCTTTTTCGGCTTTGTTAGGAAATATCAAGCATGTCACTGCATATACATACGCGTGTAAGGGGGGGTATCATATACATAAACACTAGAAGTATAAGCATGTATGTATGGATGTGCCTATCACAACTCTATCTCCGGATGAGTATGGTTATCCACACTTATCAACGGACACGTATTCGTCCAGGCCTGGTATGTTCCTTTCTTCGCGGCTCGATACGCAGCCACCCGCAGCTCTTTCCTGGCACGCGAGCTGGCTTCGGATTTGCAGGGTCCATGAGGACTAGAGTCAAGATCTGTCTCCGGGCCGGGGGCCGATGAAGGAACTAAGACGGTATCTGCCGCATCTCCATTGCAATTCTCCGTCTGTTTCACAATTATAACTTGAGACTGCGGCTGGGGTTGGGAGTAGAATGCAGAGGACGATAGAGAAACGATGCTTTCACCGTCGTTATTAGTATTTTCATCCTCCTCTTCCTCCTCCTCCTCCAGATCTTCTTCGTTAGTAGTTGTGGTGAATGTGCGAGAAACACACAAGCTAAGCTGCAAGTCTAGCTCTTCCTGCTCGATTTGCAGGTCTCGCTGAGAAACCGAGGACTGAGAATGTATTTGGGCCTCCTCCGAATCCTTAGATACATGCAGCTGGTGCGAAGTCGGCTCAACATCCGGCTGCGAATCGGTAAAAGAAGGCAAGAGGAAGTTAATTTCGTCATCCTGGTAGTCTTCAAGCATAGCTTGCTTTAATGCCTTGAGCCTCGTTGCCGGAGACTCTGATGATTGCGCAGTCAACTGCGTTGGGAACGAGGTGGGATAGTCTGCTAGGGAATCTTCGAGGTCTTCCTGCTCGCCGGTTTGAGAAGGATGGTTGATGTCCTCCTGCGGCTGGCTTGAGGATAGCTGCAGCTCGAGTTTGTGTTGCGAGTCTATGGTTGATGGCTGGCTGGAGGGTACTTCTGATTGAGCATCACTTGCGCGTCTTTGACGCTTTGAGGGCCGAGGGTTTCCTTCTCGCATCATATTGTCATGACGGAATGTGCTACTTGAACACAAATGGCCGAACAGGGACCGCATGGAGACTTCCTCGGTCCAGGTAAGGGGGTCAACTGTACATGGGTATATGTCCCTAGGCCTAAATGCTCCTACGAGCTGGCATAGTTCAGAGTAGCAGGAGTGGCGAGAGTAAGGAAACTTCTGCATTGAGAAGGTTAGTTGTAATTGCTTGTGAAAGGGGGTAGGTAAGACAGGTAAACTATGCATGCTTACAATGGTATTTGGCAGGGACTCCTTTTCCTTCTGCTTCAGGCCGTGTCCTATGGTAGTGACAAGCTTTGCAAGGGTGATCTCTTCTTCATCTTTCAATCCATATTCACCCAAGGAGATAGCTGCTCTTGTAGACTCGTACGCCCTGGATAGAGTTGAGACTACCAAGTCTCTTGTGTCTGGCTCCTTTATCTGCTCCTTACACAGGTCTAGAAAACGCTGAAAGGTTGCGTCGTCTGGCAGTTCGAGTTCGTGGCTCTGCTCAAGGTCGCCTTTTCCACCTCCAGCCCCAACCTCGGGTATTTCATAACCGTCTTTAGCTCGTGTAACAATTGGGGTAATGTCGACTGATTTTCCAGATGTTATTCGTGAGCACATCACCCCCGGTTCGCAGCTGTGGACACGGGCGGACGGATCGCTTGTCAAACACCCCGGAACAGAGGAGTTGCCGAGTCTGAAGCCACAAAGGTAGAGAGAGTCGTCTACCCCAAAGCTGGTTCCTGGTCTAGAACTTAGCGAGTTATATAATCTATATTGGTACCTGTCGACATGTATCTGTCAACGTAAATGTTAGCGGCGAGGCCTAGAATAGCCCATTAGTGAGGGTCTACGCAGCCTACCTTTGTGCCCAGGGCTGCGGAGAGAGCCAGCCATACGTCCTCGTAGCCAAATGTCCAGCTACGAAGGTAGAATATAGTGTCTTCGGGATACCCCTTAATTTTACTAAGTAGTTCCCGTATGCCTTCTGCCTTGGAGGGGAAGACCTGGTGGATATCTGACTTTGTAGCAAAGGTGGTATCAAAATATATAGTGTCCAGACGGCGGTCCCCCATGGTGTACGGGATTAACACTGGATTTCTAATAAGGCTCTGTACCCACCATGATTCGGCTAGAGAGATTGTCAACAAGAATACCGAACGAGAATCGTGCTTATAAGACTGAGTTATGGTGGCCTTACCTCTGATGTCACCTGTATATAGTATTGCCTTGCCATCTCCTTCAACGAGGAACATGACAGATCCAGGACAGTGATTAGCATCGAACAGGGTGACTTTTATAGTGTTTCCAGGCATAAGTTCTATTTTCGTTGGGACCTGCAACGGAATTGGTCTCTATAGTGGTACTATTAGAACCCATATCAAATAGCCGTCACCCAACGGCATAAAAACATCCTTACCAGTAGCTTTGCCAGATGCTTGTAATGCTGCTTTCTAGACTCTAGAATACCCTTGGCAAAGTTCATCCGATGAGGGTATTTTTCAATACGTAAGAGAATCTACGGCCGTTAACAATGGGATATATCAAGCGGTTAGCCAGTGCCAAACATGGCCGCTTACTTCTCTGGTGGCCGCGGAGCAGTAGACAAACGGGGCCCTGAGGGATTCCAGGCCCACGAGATGGTCACTGTGGACATGGCTGAGGAAACAGGCCAGCGGTGCAGGCCACTCCGGGTGCTTGCGGAAGCTGTCGACTATGAGCCTGTCAGCCAGATCTCGCCTTTCTCTCAGCTGACGATGTTGGAGCTATCACTTCTTATATACGGAAATTCTGCAGGCAGTATCAGTCAGCAGCTACGAAGTGAGCAGAGAGTGAGAAGAGGCCAAACCTTCGACGATGCCGTTGAACGTCGACATTTCGGCGACGTCGCAGCAGTGTCTCCTCGATGCTTCTATCCATGCATCTTCATGATGTTGTTATACACACGAGTGTGGTTTCTCTGGCTGGAGGTCGCTGCCTGGCGGTCGCTTTTTTGGTTCAGCTTCACGCCAAGCCACGACGCTTCAACCTCTGAGCTTCTTTAACTACATCCAGACTATCAACTTCACTGCTTCAACAACAAACTTACGGTTGCTGCTACTGTTACTACATCTTGCCAGTGTTATAGAACGAATTACTAACAATGACGTCTAGGTAACCGTCGAATGCTACTCCATGTACCCCGTATCACAATGCTTATCGCTGATCAAAGCCTCTGGGCCGGGCAGAAGGGCGGGTTGGACAACCATCCAAACCGTCACACACCAACAAGGGGAAAAGGAAGACGAGGAAGCCAGAGCGAGGCCAAAGAAGAAAAGGGGAAGGAAGAGCAGATAAACGGGCAGGGACTAGACCTCGGCTGCTTAATTAATTAAACTGGCATAAGTCCTGACGGAACATTTTTACCCACCCTTGAGTGAGGGCGCAGGAGATCAGACCTCAGTCGCTTCAAAGAAAATTAAGGTGTGCTCGTATATCGGACCGTCGAGCGTCGATGAGCGTCGATGATAGGGCTGCGGCCACCTCCATTTGCCACGAATCTGATGCCTCACCCAAGGTGCCAGTCAAGAACAGTCAGACGCCAGAAGAAAAAAGAGCTCACGACACAAGAAAAAAGAGGGTCAGCCAGTGAACTAACGACCCGGTCAGTTAGTCAACAAGGACCCAACCAGCTAACTAGTTAACTAGTGACTGACTGACTTGCTTGCTGGCATGGGGCATGCACCTGGTGCTGCTGGTCTTTTCCCCCTTCACTTCTTCTCCACTGCAGAATCTGCAGGCCAACCACGCAGCTCGAGAAAGCAGGAAAAGGAAAGGCAGCACAGGCTACTAGAGAGCCCACGTCTGCCGGTCGACGGGGGTTTGTTCGGTGGGAGAACTCTCTTGGTCTGGCTTCTTATTCACGCTCTCCACGGCGAGTTAGCCCAAGTAGATGTAGCCACGAAGCTGCTGCTGTGCATGGTGGACCGGGGCAGATTTTATATAAACCCCCAATTCTTTGGACAAGGCGATTACCCACGGATAATTAACTATATAAATGGGGACACGCCGTAGACCATCTCCGTCTTTTTCTTCTTCTTTCTTCTTTTTGTCTTGAAGAGATCACGGCTCGACTGACCCTGAGTATAACTGAATGGACTGAGCAGCTGGGTTAGAAGTGTGGAGTGTTGTATACAGCAGCATCCTCGTCCTCAGATGACCTTTTTCTTCGTTTCACTGACCAGTGCCACCCGAGCTCGACTCCAGGCCTCTTCCTCTTATTATCCTTCTTATTCTCCTGCTTCCTCCCCTTCTTCTTCTTCTTCTTCATCTTCTTCTCTCTTCTCTGCCTTTCTCTTGTGCGCAGACGGCGTGTGATGCCCTCGTCAGCAGCAGCAAACGTCAAACATCAGCACCAGCAGCTATCTTAATAACCGCAGGACAGGAGAAGAGGCCCCCAAGGGACGGCTGTCGATAACCAGTTCTCAACCTGTTGTCAGCTCTGTCTTCTTTGACCTTGTTTGCTTTTTCCTCTGCGTGTCTATCGATCTTCGACTCTTGGGCTAGTTAGTTATATTTTGCTTGGACCCCCAGACAGCCCCGGCGCACTTTAGTTATATAACCAAACGCTATATCCGATCATCCCTCAGAGAGAGCCAGGACAGACAGCTCTGGCTGCTACATATATAAGCACAGGAGCTTCCTTTTTGCCGCCTGCTCAGCAAGATCAGCCTTGTCAAAGAGGCCTGTCAAAAAAAAAAAAAAAAAAA